CATTTATGTGATTTCCCCTAGGGTCGGTCCATACCTCTGACCGAAGAGAGAGTATAAAAAACCCCTGCCTGGGTTTGTGCCTTAAGCGCAGCCGATACATATCTCGGAATTCTAATACCCCGGACACACACATGAACAATGCGGCGCAGGAATCATTCTCACGACATTACTCTCTTTAACGCCCAATCTTCTTAATGCACTTTTGTGACGTTTCTCTAAGATAGCAAAGGTCGGGCTCAATATGGGGTGTTACTCGGTGTGTTTAATACTGACGGTAGTGTTAGAGATCTAATTGATCGGCAGTATACGATAATGTAGCCACCAGGATTAAAGATGGTCAAGCATATGATAGCTTTTTATCGTTATCTGCCCGTTTTATCCATTACTGGAGTGGCCGACCTTTTATCAAGCAGACGGTTAGATTTCCGCACCTTTCTTTAAACTCATCGTCACCATATCTTCCAATGGCCTTCACACTACCGTCCAACCAATCTACTGCCCCTTCAGCACCTATTAGAGCCGCGATTTGGTAACGCGAGGTAGCCAATCTCCAAGCGCTGGAAGTCCAGCGTGATCGCTTTCCTTTAAAGCTTGAAGCATGAAAAATTCAACGAAAGCATTTTGCTTCATTCCCTCGGGCGAACCCAATCAATATCTCTGAGTATGCGTATCAACGCACTACGAACGCGATATTTCGTTGGCATCGATGTCCTGCGTATGTCGCGTACGAGGCAGTCTTACCAGACGCTCCAATAAGAAGCGTATCACCATCTTCTTTCCCTAACAGGTCAACCTCGGTTGGTTCTGCCATTATGTGTCGAAATCAATGGGCAAACGAAAGGATCCCATTTTTGTGTTCTTCGACTTGCTACCTCACCAGGTGAATAACGGTCAATGATCTCATCGACCCATAATTCTGCTCTCACGCCTGGCCGCGATGTGGCACGAGTTAGATGACCCGTGTCAGAGTGAGTCAATGCATCGCATCAGATCCCGTCTGAGCGATGAGCCACGTGACGGACGCCGCCACACGAAAGTGATGTCCGCCAGCGAGAGAATCGTGTCTGACCGGGGCAGAGAATGTCTCTCGACGTGCCGGCGGCTTCGAGGAAATGCCTGCGAAGCGATACTTTCACGCCTGCTTGTTTCTCACCATTTAAGTCCCATTTGCTCCCAGTTATCCCTTCCGACAAGTCTAATCACTGCTCCACCAACTCGCACGATCTCCAATCTATGCGCGTTCGCTCGTGCGTTTTTGAAGTTATGAGCATTGTACCACACCGCTACTGCAACTTCCGCGCAAATCATAGCTCACTCGCATTCTCCGAATCTGAGACCGTTGGCACCTACAGACGGATGCTCTATAAAGTGATGAACTAAGAAGCACATTTCAACTACCAATAACGGTTTGTACTTGGATGAAGCACAACTAGTTAGTTTTGTTATTTAACCATTTATCAAAACTCTAATTGCAATAAATTTGTATTGCCCCATGCACTGAGAGGCGTAAGATCAGTAGAGACGCCCGCGGTCGGCCGCACGAGACTAAGCCATAGGTGTTCACCGGAGACGCGAGTTTTCAGCCCATCGTTTCTCTCCGACGCCTTGCTGCACCGGAGCCAGCCGCCACATCTGCGACGGATAGCGCACGCCGTCATCTCTCTCAGCCCAGCCTCTGGAGAATGTGACAGTGCTGCCGTTAACAGGAAATCTTGCGCCGAAAAAAATTCTTAGCGACCACTCTTCTCCATACAACAACTATTAATAAATCCATTCTGTGATAACACTGAACTACGACACAAAAGTTTCACGGCTAATCGCTAGATAATGGGTTTCCTGAAGAAGAAACACCAAGTGCTAGAACAACCGCTAACGTCTATGCACCCATTCGAAGGAACAGAGGTCAGAGCCAGGTGAAGGCATGGCAAAGAGAAGGTCGTTTTGTCCCGCTACGTACGCAGCAGGGTCAAGCGAGGCGTTGAGGAAAATCTCGGAAATACGACCGCCCTCCCCCCCTACGGTCCCCGCAGGACCCTCCGCCCGAGGCCCCCCAGAGTCTCCATCGAAAACATATACCCCTCTTCCAAAAAGCCTGAACTAATGAAAACGGTATGAAAAAGCTTGTTAATTCCTCCCCCCAAAACTGCCTCATCGCCCACCTGCTGAATAACCACCGGCCACGCGACGAAACAAACCAATCGTGTCAGAAACTCTACGAAATACTCGCAAAAAAGTCTCAAACGCACCTCAACTCATCTAATTCCGACCGATGACCAGGCACGCAGAATCATGAACCAAACCGGTTAGCAAACGCAGAAACAGCACCAGGAACGACAAGAACACCTAGCGTAGCACTAAAATGGCATACTATTACCAGATATCTTTCTTCATATTTTATTTACCTCTCCAACAAGACTTACCGTAAATTGCTTAAGTACTGCGCACACACGAGTCTGTGGTTCTCCTTTGCAAACCGGGATCACGCCCTCATCAAGTTAAAGAAGCTTTTTAACCTCCAGACGATCGCCTTCGCACACACGCTGTGTGTTGGACTGACGTGGGGTTATGGACCATCGATGCGAGCCACTCTTATTATACCCTACTCTATCTGATAAACTATGAACAGACAATATTCACCGATGCATTATAACTTTCTTCCAATATCGTACGAATTTTCAATTCTCGAAAGTCAGATGAAGTTTTGTGAAGAGCTTCGTTCTAAAAATCAGAATTACATTAACGATTACATGAGGAACTTACTATAAGAAATAACAAATTTAGTCAAATAACGATGAAAATTCTCGAGACGATCCACGAGTTTTTCAGCACGAGACCGACTTTCCGAAGCCAACAACTAATGCCTCTTCATTTTCGTCAAATTTCGAAAAAGTTAGAACGATTGCGCAGACGCACAACTAGACGAGATTTTCTCTACCAAAACCGTGCTACAACTCCTATCGTCCAGCTATCAAAAAAAATGGCCAAGCGTTGAGGCGCACTTTCCGGCAAGATTAACGAGGAAAACAATTCTTGACGGACTTGCCGCGAGTTTTTTTTTATTATTCTAAGCCATAACTGGCCCGTTCCAAAGCTCATCCAATGTCCTGAAAAGTGAAATACGTCTTCAGAAACTAGAATTTGGCTCTCGAACGCGCATATATCTAGCCCTGCTTCAAAACGTCCCAGCTAATCAAAGAACGGCTACGCGAGACTTGAGGATTTTTCGCACCAGTACCGACAGTCGCCCGAAGGTACTTGTTCGCTACCATTGGCACTCATTCCAACTGGCTGTGATGATCCTTTTAAAAGGGCGGCTAATGTACTAAGTAAGAGCAGATTTGGATATGCTTTCTCTTCCTAAGAAGAAAGTGATTGACCATTAGCGTTTTGCAAACTTAAAGAGCGTTACCTGATTATATAAATAATCTTTAACCCTGAAGACGTCCGTTAACGCCAGTGGTTGAATGCGTGTACGACCCTCCTGTAAATGCTCACGGACACTATTCAGCAATCTCCTCACTTCGATTGTCCTGAATCTGAGGCTTCGTCCTAAAGGTAGCCTAGTATCAAGAGCGCCGCCGCGAAAACAACATAAACCCTTATTCTCGGATGTTCGCGGCGATGTACCTCACATCGCACCTTCCAAGATTCGGGTCTACTTGAAAAGAGTGAAATATCTCTTGGAAGCGTGCGAAAGTTCGATTCCTTTAATCTTGTGATGAGTGAAAAAACGACTGAAGTACCTGCCCAGAACATACCCGGGCGCCCTCCAGAATCATTCGGGCGTAAAAATTGTTGGACTGGTGGGTGCCAATTATCATTTCATTGGAAAATCCTCTCTGGCCTTGGCATGCGGACTCATCCTTGATGATTTGCTCCCTACCGCGACGTGAGAATCCCGACTGCAGCAAAATGGCCGATCCCTGTTCGCACCAGCGGCCGTACGACCCCTGTCTCCCCTTGTCCCTGCCTGCACGTGTCCGAGGTTCCTCTAACGCACGCTTGACCCTGGTACGCCAGCGCGAACAATAGAGAATCGGTTTAAAGCCGCGCGATTCGGAAGAGTGCGATGACAAATCGACCGAGATGGTAGTATCAGGGATTGTGAGTCTAAAAGTTGTAAGATGTGAATGCAACGAAGCAGAAGGCCAGAAAGAGCTTCTAGTGAATGCACTCTGAGCAACAAGCTTAAGCATCCCCGTCGCCAGCAATCGTGAAAGACGTCCGTGGGCAACTCGAACGCCTGGCACCCTTTTCGAGTTTTCGAAATTCTAATCAAAACGAAAGCGATACTTCAGTTCTTTTCACTATTATCGTGGATAATGAGTCTCAAGCCAGTGATTTATGGCTGAAATAGAATCATGATTTTTCCGCGCAGATTCCTTCAAACTTCTTATAAATTTTATGTTGCCCATTCACCCTCCCTTCACAAACTGCAGCTGCGTCCAAGCGTATTTGACCCACCAGTGGAAGCAAATGTGCACTCATTAAAATGAATGGTATTGAGACTTTTGCCAAATCATTTGCAGAATGAAAACTAATCTAGTCAGGGCGAAATTCGACCTGACACAATCTTTGGACCACACATTTGGTTCCGGCACCTTCAACGCTCCACCCAAATCCGCAATTATGAAACATAATTATTTCGGATGTCAGTAAAATTTAATCCTCACGAAATCGAGAAAAATTCATTGATCGTTAGACTCCTATGACAACAATAACAGCGATGCAGCATTTCAACCACAAAAAAGCAGTGAACAACTAAGAGATCAAATATTGCAGAAAACGAAGAATTGATGAGGCTTAGAACGAATAAATCATGCAATCCTTAATTGAATCTTTTTAACAACCAATGTTTCATTACTTGAGCAGGCATTAACATAGAGTAGAGAGACATCACAACGAATACCTCTGGGTAACATTTTGTTAAAATCATTCCAATTCTAACACCCGAACTTGAATGAATATTCTAGAGTAACAAACCATATAATTATCACGGACTAGTAAAACGTGGATAATCGCTGTATCTGAACCAAGTCGTCCATTATATGGTACCTGGAACATATTTTTCTTCATCCCTTGTGTACAAAAAAATGAGCAAAAGCTCAGGTCAAAATGGTCCAACGTTTAATAAGCACCGGCAAAATCTGGAACACGACAAGGAACCCTATAGCCTAGCTGTCAACGAAGTCTGAATGACTGACCTGCTCGCACCGAGACTTCTTGCTAAATCTTGCTTTCGGGTTGTGGAAAGGTGCATAAACTGCTCTACCAATTCTCCGTCCACCATGTTCTTGTTATTCGTAGCGTTGATCAGAGGGCGAACAGGTTTTCCTCCTCGTGCGCCCTTGGAAATGTTAACCATGAATGGCGACGTTAAGAAAAATTGGTTAAAAACCCATAATTTTTGGGCAAGATTGCTAAAAGATCGCACATCCATAAAAAGAACATATCCTTCTATTATAAAGCAGTTAACTTGGTGTTTGGTTTGCATGTATGTATGTGTGTCGGTATGTAAGTCGGTACATCCGCCACATGAAGTGATAAGGTAGTTAGTAGAATAAGCCAACCTCTAAGAGAACAGGTGAGCTCGCAGATCTTGCGATATCAAAATTTCAATGTGGCAAAAAGTGTTAATATCCTTCACTGCAACATAGTCTGAGCACAGGTCATTTTATATGAAGTTGAGGTACCGCTTAACATTTTGACGATAGCGTGACGTGGTGGCCTCCCAACCAAATCATCCTTTTTTCTAGCGCACGACAACAAATGGCATAATATAGAAAATTTCCATAGAAGAAAACGAAAGCACTGATACGGTTCTACCTTTGGATTCAAACCGGCGTATTGTCCAACAGAGTTTGACATGCACTGGTGCAAGAAGTGAAGTCGCCTAAATAACTCATTATATCCATAAATACAGAACATCATTCTCTCAGTAAAAGAAAGATACTACGGAACTTGATTATTCGCAACTCTTTCACTTCTTTTGATCTTTTGAGTTTTTTCTCTTGAGATAAAAAGTCGTCAGCAAACACCCCACACCTGAATTGCCTTTCTGAGATTGGGCGAACAATTCCTAGTGAACCATCGAGCGATGCCCACAAACATGTATGCTGCTGCATTACATTTTTTGCTTCTAATGGTGATAGATTGAATAATGATGTGTGGCCTGAAAATCAAAATCACAAATAGGTAAACAAAATTAATGAAGCTGTAGCTCACCCCTGATTCGCAGCCATGCGTTCACATTTGTACCAATATTCAGGATACCTCGAAGAATGAGCCGTTCTCCACCATTTGACTCTTGTGTTTCGGGCATGTAGTTGAACATACAGATATTGCCAGCTTCGTCAGACATTAAGAACGCTAGATGGCTGCAAACACGTTGATCTTTTGCCAAAAAAGTTCAAAGACAATTTATAAAAAACAAACTTATTATCCACAAGGAACTCTGCTGCCATGGGAGATGGTACATCGGGCCGATCATCTCTCGACGCCACCGAGAGCGCTTTGAACTGCTCCTAAAGGAAAGAAGTAAACCACTGCACAGACATGGTTTCGAAAAAGTCTTCAAACTTCTCAAAGCCTTATTCTACTTCTGAATGAAAAGGATTGAGCAGTTCGCGTGCCATTTTTGTGGCTTCAAAAAAAGCGCCACGGGTGCAAGAATTTTGTCGTGTCGCTTCCGAACACTGCCTCTACAGCTAGCAACGCAACAATTTTTGCAACAAAACGTCAGCAAATCATTCACCATCCCTACCCCATGCTCAGTGGGGAGACATTCGGTTCTCTTCCTATGTCAATCACCAGAGATCAATGTTGATTGAAGCCTAGGCTTGGACATAGGCTTACTGAGCAAATGACAAGCGTCTTAACCTGAGGTAGACTCACATGACGGGAGAACTGATATATACCCACATCAACCTATCGCTACTTTCAACTCCTTCAATGGCTTCATTTCCTTTCTCCAAGCGGTCTTGTTCACATCTTGTTTATTTTGGAGAGGATTAACTCCACCTTACGAAAGAAACGTGCCTTTGAGAATTTACTTAAGTGAACAAAAACTAACTTGGAATCGAATGAGTGACATGGAGTCGTGCATATCACACGCGATAGCGAGATTTCGAATAGATATCAATGAATGCACGTAATAATGCATGTCAAGAAATGAAATTCCTTGAAGGTCATTGTCGCGAAAACCCCAAATGAACACCTGAAACATATAATTGAAGGAAAAAAAAGAGCCCGTTCGAGAACATAACTCTCAGTACCCACCTTCTGTGCCATTCCACTCAAAAGTAGACCATTGATTGAGGTAAGCGCTGTGACCGGCCCTTTCTGTTCCTTGTCATATACAATCTAGACCAGTAAACATGAAATATGAACGACTGGAGAAACCTTAAGTCAAACTCACTTTGATTTTATGTTTGGAAGTAGGCTTCCCCGGTTCCGGAACAACATCTATTATTTCTGCAAGTATGATTCGACCTCGAACTAATACCTGCAACGAAGGGTTGAATACGCGTTCACTTGTCTAACAAAATTTCAAGCTCCAATATCCTGGAATTTGTCGAAACACGACAAAGCTAGTGCACCAGAAGTGTGACAGCTGGTAAGTCTCCCTAGGGGGGGGGGAGGTTCTTGGTCCACCACTGCAGTGATCGCGCTGCTTTCACGCGTCACAAAGACGCTAGGCGCATAGGACTTGGATCATTGAAAGGATAAAGGATAAAGCATTTGCCGTTGATCAATCCCTTCTTGGGATGCGGCACGCATTCTACCTCCATTTGTGCATTCGTAGGGGCGTTTGAACGCGATGTGGTCTATGCAATGACTTGCGGGTGCCAGCCGATGTACAAGTCAATGTTTTTATCCTCCCAAACAAGTCTGGTATAATACCTATTAACCAACCCCGGAGGGATGGAAGGCTTGGTTGGCCCAGGCGACTCACGACCCAGGATTTGATCCCTGGACCGCTCGCGTGGTAATCGTGTCACTTACCACTACACCACTTCCGCGCACTCCTGGATCATTTCAAGCTCAAAAGAATTTATGCCAGCACACCATTCGACATCTTGTCTGTGTCGTAATGATGACCTGTTACGATCTCTTGACTCGGACTCTTTCAACTCCTCGATTCACATTGCTCTTATCTCGCTGTCTGATTCTTAGACTACTCCGCAGCGTAGACAACTCCTCGATTCACATTGCTCTTATCTCGTTGTCTGATTCTTAGACTACTCCGCAGCGTAGAGCATATAGGTTCGTGTTTTAAGTCTTTTGTGCAGGTTAATCAAGGCTTCTGACCCTCCAACGCCACTTAATCTGCAACAGGGAATTTAGAACCAAGGATTCATAGGCAAGGAGCATTCGAGAGCCACCACGATTCCTGCACAAAACATACGCTACGGACGCTGCGGACAGGAGAAAAAGTGATTCAACTCACCTTTTAAGCTTATTGAAAGATGGACCACTTTCAATAAGCTCCGAGACGCAGTGACTTCCAATCTCTTAGACTCTAAGGTCAAAGTTCACGTCTTAAACTCGCATGTTGTTCCCGCTATGACGTACGGGCGGAGACGTGGAGCACCACAGTCTCTGAAGAGGAGAAACTCGCAGTCACGCAGCGAGCAATGGAGAGGGCCATGTGCGGTGTAATGCTCCGAGACAGCATGTCTGACACTATTCACGCTCGTATGATGGTGAAGGTTGTTGTCGATGCCATCTATAATTCCAAGAAGAGGTGGGCCGGTCATGTGGCTAAACTCACCGATGATCGCTGGACGAGGGGAGTGAGTGACTAGTACCCAAGCGGAAAAGCAAGGCCCAGAGGCAGAGCCCCACCCGATGAGCAGAACCTCTGGTAAAATTGCACGGCCATCTGTGGCGCAAGAGAGCCCGAAGTGTTTCTGGCGTGCCCGGGAGAATAACGGTCGAGAAGTGAGAAGTAAGTAAGTAACTCACTCTTTGTCCATCATAAGACAAACAAAAGTTTTGGAAGCAAAATTATGAGTGTCATTAAAGGACGAATTCACGTTGGAAAGGGAACCCATTTCATATAAAGTTAGCGATGGTGAATGGTACACTAAAGAAGGAAAAACCATGAGAAACGGCCCAGACCCGAGAAAAGGGAACCCTTTCCTGCCCGTTGATTTTGAGGCATTGATGAGGCTATCATCGCTGTGCTCTCTTCAACGTTACGCTCTCTCACCCATCTAATCACTCGCCACGCACAAACCTAAGGCGAGCTATCAGCTGGTTGGTGGGCGTGCGCTGACCAGCCGCGGCGGGATTAAACCTTAATAGATCAACGAGGTCAACTCCTCCTGTGCAAATTGTGCTTCAGTTCGCACACTTAGGAGCTCCGCAGGTCCCTCAACTAGGTGAATTCTTCCTAATTCGATTTTCCCTCTGATCGCGAATTCGTCCAATTCGTTCTAATTTCACGTGGATGAAGAGAATAAGGAAATAATAAGAGAAAAAAGAATGGACGTGAGAGGGAAGATCCTTTGAAGAAGGGCATCGACTGCGCTGTCAAAGAGAGGGTTTATGGAAATAGGAAACTACGAGCAACACTTCACACGACCTATAGTCGAGTTCACATACCTATAAGGGCCTATATTACCGAATGTTCTTTTCAACCAAATTTCGGCGTTTACAGTAGTATGTGTGTGTGTGCAGGCTTCCACAGAGCGCTGTCTTTTTAATGCTTCTACATTGCGCTTCGACATTGAGAGGGTTTGTGTATTTCTCGAAACTAACCAGCAATCAGTCTCTTTTCATGTTATAGAAGCGTTCAACTTTACCTCTAATCAGACAGACACAACCGATTTTATATACTGAAGACCGTAAGTAACTGATAAAGTTGCCAAATAATGTGAGTTTCCACACCTCTTCACCATAGTTGTTGATTGTGCCAACGGCAAGATACACTTGCATTCCACTTATTGTGGACTCAGAGCGTAATGTGACCTCTTCACATGCAGTGACTACCTCCATCTCTTCGAATTTTATATCCGTGTTAGGTACAGGTTTCCAATCCACAGCAGAGTATAACTAAAACGAGAAGTAAACATAACAAATACAAATGGAAAGAATTGCGATTCAATTTTGTGGCATGAAAAATACCTACATTAAGAGAGTACTGCGGAATGGATGGAAGAACGAAATTGTCGTTTTTCTCGTGTGTTTCAACCTGTTTGTCGTCATTTACTACTACCCATATTTTGTTGCTCTTCATCGGTACGGAAGTTGTCACAGCATACACCTTTAGAGATACAGATTAACTGACTTATCGTGAGGAAAAAAAAAGAGAAGAAAGCATACCTGGCTGCTCATGATGTAGCGGACGTGATGAACCGTTGACCCAATAGGCACTTTTCTACATGGATAGGGCAGCTCGTAGTCAATTTCTCCCTATAAATACCCGAACTAAAAATATGCTCCAAGCATAAACATTTTCAAACGAGCATTACCTGCAACCGTGCAATACGCAACTCCTGTAAATTTCTTGCTATGTATAGAAACCCGTTTGGTACATTTTGATTATTAAATGCGGTAAAAGCCGATATTGGACCGTCAATTGTCATGGGATGACACTGTAATCCGCCCCAGGCTCCAACCAATACTAAGCATGGGAACGCACCAGTCAGCACAACTCCATGCATCTGTAAATTACTCACAAAGGTAATGCATAAAAGGAACCAAATATTAAAATGTAAAAAAAAATTGGAACTCACTACACCACAAACGCGCTCGAACGGATGAATGATGACGCGATGTTGCTCAATTTCTCTCCCTACTTCGACCTAAAATGATCAGAAAATTGAGAAGTGTGAGCTATATTTCCTTGCTTTCAATAATCAAAGACCGCACTTCAGCTCTTCTTCCATCATGCCCCATAAAAGGTGCGGATCTGATAGTCACTGTCAATGGTAAGCGACGGAAGCCAATCGCAAGATGCTCTGAAAATAGAACGTTTGCCATGTAGATACGCAAACAAAAATTATTCAGGAAGGGATGGTGGATACATACATTTTCTTAACCTACTGCATCATCACATAAGTTCTTATCATGAATATAAAAAAGTACCTATTAAAGGATTCCTCCATTTGTACATCTCATAGGTGATAACCTGATCGTCGATCACTGCCATTAGCGTTGGATGGCCTTGGTTTATACCCATACCTATCGAGCAAGAATTTTAAGCCGTTAGAAACCTTTCGGAAAAGTAAAGGTAATAAAACATAAAAACAACAATTTAGCTGACCTAGCCAGGTATATCTATGCAGGTTAGGCAAATATCAAGCGAAAGTAATGATCCCTACTATATATACTGCGCTATTTCTGTCTGTCTGTCTGTCTGTCCGTCTGTCACGAAATTCGGTACTAAGCGAACAACAACCAACAGGATCCGGGCCAAGTGTGGGATGGGTAGGCCAGGTCTCGTGAGGTACAAAACACACATCAGCTGAGCGGAGCTCCGCCCACAGTGGGCGTGGTGTGCATCGAAATGAAGTGTACTGACGGCCGAGAATTCAGATGCTATACCAAAAAAGCCTCGAAACTGCGCCAAAAAGTGGGGAATGGTGTGCATTGGTAAGTCACATCGAATTAGGAAGACCCAACCCCGGTGGGAGGTGCGTTCTCCAAAAAAGTAGAGCTTTATGAAAAATTTCATAATTCGGTCGGGAGAAAGCCTACAGAGCAGAAAACAAATTGTTGTAAGGAAGCAATGTCAGTGTTTCCAGTATCCATGATATGGGCGGAGCACCACCCACAATGGGCGGGGCGCGCTCTGAAGTTAATAGCATTTTCCACAAGTCATGATTCGGGCCGGAGAAGTCTTAGTGAGCCGGAAAAGGGTGGATAGAGGAGGGTGGAGGAGTGGAGGCCAACTGTCATCGGTGGGCGGGGCTGCAAGAAGTCCAGGAAGTGGAGACCGGGAGAGAAGTGGCCGAAGGAAAGGAAGTGAATTTCTAATGGTGCGCGGAGGATACACAAAAAAAGCAGGATTCACCTCCAAAATCATAAATCGGCTCAGAGATATTCAAAGATCGGGTGGTTCAGCGAGGTTGGCGAGATAGAAAAAGATAGGTGGGACATGCAAAGGAATACGCGGAGTTTACCAAGAGGTTCATAAATCTGTCCGGGGGCAGTAAGAGCTGGTGGATGAAGGATGCGGCAATCGCATAGAATTCGGCTTGAAGGTCAAATATTCGAGGGGTCAAATTCGAGAATTCACGCCGCACCATCACCTCATCATCGCCGCAGAACTGTGCTGTGCGCGCAGCGCGTGCGGCGCCAACTGGTAATATAATATCTGAACCCGGACTATGCTCGTGGAAATCGATGTCACTTGCCCCAACAGGACCTTAGAATTCTGGGCTTTATTCCAAATCGTCTATGTTCTTGCGGAATCAACTTTGAGGAACTCGCTAAGCAGCATTTTGTAACATTTGGCTCCGAAGTAAGCTCCGAGGACAGTACAGTGATGTTCTAACATAGCCACTTACCAACGATTTGTATTTCCACAATTCTCTCATTTGGACGAAATTGGACTGATGAATTCTCGAACTGTTCGGCGCGCGCTTCTAAATTGAATTAGATCTATAATATCGATAAAATGGCATAGTCGCAATACGCTGAAAACACCATGGAATGATGCAGCGGACTGACCTTGTTCCTTGCGATCTTTTTCTTCCTCGTCTGGCATCAGATCGGTCACGAGTTCAGGCATCAGTCCGAATTTTAGAAACTGTAGCGGTGGAAAGCAACAGATAAATGATAGAGCTATCGATCGCTTATGTGCAAAGAATCATTCAGAGAAGTATGAGTGACCAACCTGGTAAACTACTCTCATGTCTGGAAGGGAGTGAATTACAACTTTTCCGCTATCACGGGCCAAGATGAGCCAGTACGTAGGTTCCACTGGAATCAGAACAACTCATGACTTCTGGCATTCCAGACTTGTACCCAAACTAACCTGTATTGGGATCGATGGCGTCGGATTCCTCTCCACCGGTCGTCACACTGGTAACTTCAGCCATTCGCTTCCTTTTGCGAACACCCTCATCTTAACGATATATTTACGATTCAAGGATTTGAATGTTTAAAAACTAAACAAATACCTTTCTTGTTTGATCCTGTATCACCGTAGAGGAGTTCATCCTCGTCAACAACCGTGCTTGGCATATGCGTGACAACTTCTTCACCGTACAGATCGATGTCGATGGAATCCGCTGTTCCTCGTCGAGACACCGCTTTCTATGAGAGTGTATTTAATAACTCAATAAAAAAACATAGTTCTGCACTACCTTCTTTGGCTTAGTAAATCTTCTTTCGTAAAAATCGTCAGCACCATCTGAAAAGATCATGAGACCGCTCATATCTCGATATATTGACAGTGCCGTGAGTGGAGCTCGATGGTGAACGGTTTTCTCAGCAAACGCGCTACCGCTTAGGTCGATTTCCTTGAAATGATTGAAATTTGCAATGATGCATGTAATGCAGATCAAGTTTAGGGCCATTCTTCAGAATCGAAAACGACTCACCTTAAGATGTACATGAGGAATGAGCACAAGTTGATAAAGCATTAGACGACCATTCTGAGTAAGGAGGGCAACATATGGATCGACAATAGAAGCTGCAACCACCGGGAAATTCGAATCAAGGTCTATTTGTTGTAGCTGCTGCTCCTCCGCTACCAATGCGACGCGAAGAGAGGTGACCTAGTAACTTAGATTCGAAAAAAGGCTCTCAGAATAAAAAACAAAAGCGAAAACAGCCTAGCACAAAAGAAAGCGAAAAAAGACCTGGACGGCGAGACCACCATCAGCAAGCTCTCCAGCAGCTACTGTAGGTTCATCAGAAAGAAATAATGGCTCCTCCAACTCGACCATGTCTTCTCCCAACTCAAGGATAAGCGAAGAACGAGTGCGGGAAACAATAAGGTACCTGATAGTGAGCTGTTTTTATAGCACTCATAAGATAGATTCCAGTTTAAGTGATACAAACTTGTGTGAATCATCCTCTCGTCTGCCTACTGCCCAGAGCTGCTGTGCATCTTGCAAACTGAATGAACATCGAGATTCAAAATAAGGACACAATAGGTATTGCATCACACTATAACAATTCATAATTGTAATAAAACCTACAAGCTGCTTGTAATTACATCCGGTCGCACTGTTCTTTGGAGGACGCAAATAGATCCATTTACCAAGTTGCCTGATGCCGTTGCCTGTGTCAATGAATTGAAAACATATATGTGGACTGGTAGATAAAAATCTCATCTTCTGCACTAAAAAGTTACGAGGAAGTGAAACACTTACGACGTCAAAAACAGGATCAGCCCGATCCTGCTCAAGAAGGATAGGACCGATTCCATGAGCTCCTCCTGCAGTGATCGCCTTGATTGGCCCTATGTTGGTTAACTTATCCAGCTCCCGGAATATCATTTTTTCCTTCACATCTGATGTAAGCGTGGTCTAAAAATGATATTACTTTTCTTCACATGTCCACTCAGAATTAGTCGTAATTCATAAAAAAAACCTATACTTCATACTCGTTTACCTAATTAACACGTTGACGACATCGCCTTTTGGCATTTTGCACCGCGTGGGACATCAGCGGTTTGCGAACGCGTCGTCTGCACCTTACTGCCGCTTATTTTTTGTTTAAAATGTACAAAAAATTGAATCTCACACATTCCGGCAAGGATGAACGCACAAAGGTTAACCATAACTAAACTATATAAATGGCAGTAGATTTTCGTTTAGAAGAACGCATAATGACCAAGAAGAAGCAAAGGAACACCACTTCCGCTGCAAATGAAGTTAAAAGCATTTCCAAGCAAGTTCTTCCACCAAATACAAATAATTTGGAACTCACAAAGTTTTGTATTACCTGTGTCTACAATCTTACATATGAATGTTTCGAGAGTGAAAGGAATATTAGGAAAGAATTGAAATGAAACTTTTGTGCGTTCAGAAAATCTGCTAAGTCAAGGGACATTTGACCGCTCTGGCTGCCATGTGGTTTATGGTTATGCTAATGTATTATCTATAGAATGAATGCGAAAAACTCGAGAAGAAGGAGCGCAAGCACAATAAAAATGAATGATATGGTTCTAACGCGCGTGCGCGTCAGAATGTCCGATGCGGTGCAAAAGTTCTGACGCGCATGCGCGTCAGCCTGTCGTCAACGTGTTAAAAAATTTAGTGACGTTCTCTAGGAACCGCTTTCAACCTAAAACGCCATAATAATGAGATAAGTCCCAAATTCTCACCACTTGTTCAATTATTTGCTCCCCATACAGTTCGATATCATCATCATCTGGATTTATAGTCTGCTCCACCTTGGGCTTCTTTGCCTCTTGAGTTATCTCTTCCGCTGAAATTTCTACCTTACGTGACACCACGAAAAACTACTTAAACGGGACGGCAAAGACTATTATTCTTATCAAAACGGTGCTGTTCCGACCAACCATAAGATCATGCACTCAAACAATGTCAACCCATGAAATCATTCGTTTTTGAACGTCAACAAGCTACAGCCACAAGATGAATTACAGCTACCTGACTCCTCCTTTTCTATGGAAAATTCCAGGAGCTGCGAATCCCCAAGTCTTGAGCCAACAAAAAGACGTCCAGAGGCACATAAAGTCATGCAGTAAGCAATCGACGTGTCTGCAAAGTAAGAAACATAATGCTTAACATTGAAAAAAAAAGATTAACGCAATATATATCATTGTATGAATTATATAATACTACTCATTTATTAGATTTGATTTAGTAAAGTGTGAAGCGCTCACCGAAAACATGGTCTAATGTTAACGATCTGACAGTTTCGGACGAATCTGTTACCAATTTCAGGACAAACAGCCTTCCGTCCATAGTGCCCAATGCCACTCGATTATTTCCAATCCATTCAGCAGGACCAGCGTCTAAAGTCATCGACATGTGCTTAAGATCCTAAAACAGCAAGAGGTTATTTAACAAAAATACATAATACAGCTAGAGAGATACACCTACTACACACCTTGAGGGGAAATTTTGTGAAGTTGTCATAACAGCTGTTAAGACTTATTCCGCATGGAGGAACCGACTGATTGAGGTAGATGACCTCATTAGATCCAATCACAAGAACACCTCCCAGAGGTTTAGGAATGGCAACCAACCTGAACATTCAATTCAAAGTGTGGAATTCTTAATTAGAAGGCAGCCAATTGGAATCAAGATTGAGGTGATCAGTGGTGGCGAAGCGAATGAAAAACCATGAGAAACGGTCAAAACCAAAAAAGGGGCTAGCTGGTCGGAGGGCGTACCACGCCGGTAGCGCCGCGGGACGGCCACGCTACGCCAGCGCATATGCGGAGCTAGATTGCGTTTCCGGCTGCATCCATGAGGGTATACCGGTTCTCCCACCAGATAAGTTCTTCCTTGTGCGACTTTAGACCTTATCGTGGGATCCAGTTTAACAAGAAATAAAAATAAACATGCACATTCTTTAGCATTGCGCAGAGGCGTTTTGGATCCCATCCAGATAAGACCTGGTGCTGCAGTCGCTGCATATAACAGAAATTTCCTCGGGTGGGGGAAACCCGGGTGTGCGCGACTCATTTCCCTCTCGCTTTTACACCCATCTCGAAGCTCATTCCTCTGTGCGAAAGAGGATTACTTCGCGCGAGACGAACTGCCCCAGTACATGCGCCTTACTGGACGAGACCCGGCAATTTTCCTCAAATAACGAAGTAACTACTCATTTTTCGCTTCACTCCCTTCTATGTGGTTCTCTGGGACTACATCCAAATTATCAATCAAACTTAGGCACGTCAGGTGTTGTAGCTATTCTTCTTTTTGTTTCGAGCATGTTTATATGGGTTGTACGCTCTAAGGTCGCAGTCATACCTTGCGACTGCCTTGCACTTCCATTGAATTCGTGTCGGTCATACGACTTTAACACTTTAGAGACCGCGCATGTTTCACGTTTTTCGGTGACGTGGGACTTCAGTGAAGTTTTTAGGAAAGTTACCAAGCAAACTGAGAAGAAAACTCTACTGGGTGATGTAGAAGAATCCTTATCGAATGCAACGGAAAAGAAAGCAAAAGAAAAACTTGGCATCTTTTTGCGAAATGTGAGCTGAAAGGTCCTTCACGACGGACTGCAGCCCACATATGGGCTGCATGGGCGCCAGGTGTTAAATGAATGTCACACTCTGTTCGTATGTCTTCCATGGAAAATTGCAAGACCACAAACTCATAGGATTGCTAGGTTGCAAACTATGAATGCGTTCTGAAGGGCACCGGGTAAAATAATACAAATAAGTTTAGGGCTTATAACACATCCAAACGCATGAAGCATAGAAAATTCAAGGTTTCCACACACAATGCAGAAGTAGTCACCTGTTACAATCCATTGGAAGACTGCCAACTTGCCAGACAATGGCCACTTGCTCATCGAACACGTTAACCGACACTCCCAATAAATGCATGGTGTCATAGCGAACGGATGCTCTAGAAAAGAGAACCATAGAAAACCTAGCAAGCTAGTTATGCTTCCATTTTCAAACGAATATGGAAAACTTAATTCACCGTCCAGCAGTTGTTTGATGCGGTTCGTAGAGGAACAGGAGTGTAGGCTCATAGTATCCATCAAGGAAAATTATGTCGACAACATTCTCGAGTCTAAATGATCAGCTGCTTGTAACGAGCAAACATTATCAAAGAGAGGGCAAAACTAGCACATTCAACTCACAGAGCACTGAGGATAAAAAAAGCAGGGGCCTACCGATGATCAATATCAGAGAGAGGAATGGAGAAACTGTTGATAAAGTCGCCATCGAACGGTAAAATTCCAAGAATTCTGTCGTAGACAATAACGGCGCCACATCTGTTTGCTGGATCTGTCTGAATGATTCCAATCGAATTGGTGTATAGAGGTAGGGTACGGCTACCAACTTAGCCCAAAAAGGAGACAAAAACAAAAGGCTCACAGAGAAGTGTTAGAATGAATGCTCAAGGAAACTCGTGTGAAGGAGATCTTTATCGAATTACTCACTACTATTAGGATGGCAAGAAAGTCCTGAGCCGTCCGACAGTTTTTTTTTGCTTTATTTTTTTATTGCGTACAATGGAATTTACTCAACAATGTAATCACCATTGCTACTAACTCACTGCCCCACCTTACGAGCAGGTCAGCGATCCTATTCTCTCAGAAGACTGGAGATACTGGAAGTCAAAAAAATCAGTAACCATTCTTTCAACGTCTTCAACTTTGGCGAACTTTTTCATCGCTAGGAATGTATTAAGGGAGAGAAGCAAGTGATGATCAGGGGCAATGTCAAGGGAATAGGGTGGGTAAGAAACCGAGTCTTAGCCCAGATCTTCTAATTTTGCATGGGCCTTTTTAGCTATATGGGGCCTGGCGTTATCGTGGAGTAGGTGGACAGAAGCTCGTCAAGGACATTTTCTCGGAAAGCGTAAGCTACTTCCTGAAGCTAATTGGCGTAAATGTTGCCGATAAAGGCGTGCCCTTGCGGTAGCAGCCATAATACAGCATTCCTCGCGAGTCCTAAAAGCAGCAAAGAAGACCGTTCTTGGAGTGAAGGTCCGATTTTGCTTGTGTTGGCAGGTCTTCTCCTCGAGGGAACCACATGGCACGGTGCTTGCTAGTATTGTAGAGGACCCAACCCTTATTTACCGTAATCGAGTCTTTCAAAGATCCTTCCGGTGCGGGCAGAGAAGCAGAGACTGACCAATGGGTGCCCGCCTAAACCGCGTGCTCTGTCAAGACATGAGGGATCCATCGAGTCGGAACTTTCCTGTTGCGAGAACGTGGAGGAGACCGAGGACTGTGGGATGGGTGCACCCGAGTCTTATCACAAGGCTGCGGGTGCCAACTCGGATCTTCTTCGACAGCGCCGAGAACGGTGGAGTCGTCTTTCACTGTTTGGAGGCTTCCCAACCTTGAATTGTCTTCGGAACCGTGTCTCCTCCTTCGAAGCCTACGATCCGAAACTTGGCACTGATGATGGTAGTGGTGTCCCTTCCCAGTGCGCTGCTGATGAGGTTGGTTTCCACTGCTCCTGTGCCGCGACGCCATCATTGAAGATGATCGCTCGAAAGTGCTCCTGTGGAATCGACATCATGATTAAAGTTAAAGAAGGCAACCTGGCTATACGTATTGCGGAGAAGTATAATCGGCAGCCATAGTCTACCACGTAGCAGATACTAGCTACCAATCAATAAGCGAAAGTTCTGGGGCTTTCGGAAAATCGGCTCAAAACTTTCTTATCATCCCAAGTACTTGCCACTGTGGGCGCTAATAGTTGCATTGGCTATCATTAAAATGTGCTTCCAAAAACCCACAGTATGAACGGCCTCAAAAATTAAAAACATCGGAAGATTCCATACCATGACTTGGTCAAACTGGCATAATATATTAGACCAAAAAAGATAATTCAAGCGAACACATACTCTGACAATGGGCTCGTGGAAGTGATGACTAAAACCGTCACGCTTGAATTCAGACAGGAAACTGTGCAAGGATATAGTGCTCAGTGCACGGTCTTCTGCATCAATAGCTACTACGGACACGTTACAACCCTCGAATGCAAGCAGCAGGGCTTCAGAAGCCGGGTAACCTAAAAAATAAAATTAGAGATTAAAGAGTGTTTCAAAAGCAATAAAGCAGACCTGGTAATTTTGCTTTTGCAAACGACTGGATAGGGGCCATAAAACGACAGCTGTAGACACATTCCAATTTTGTTTTCTGCTTCCATTCCTCAGTTGCATCCTTTGGAGGGATTAAAGTGTATGGGTTTGTTCGAAACAATCTTAGATACTTGGCACCAATAGTAAGCAACTGGTTTCCTGAAATATTTACCGTGAGATATGAAAGCTCATCGAAAATCCACAAGATTCGCTATGAAGAAACACCATTCTCACTGTGATTCAGAAGTCTCACCTTTTCCGGGTAGAAATTTGCCGTAGGAACTGAAGTTCACGGTAGTGGAATCATCGTTTTCATTCAGATACGAATACATTTTGGTAAAGGAAATAGCTTGTCATTGATAGGTGATTTCAACCGCGACACATGACTCCGAATTGAGGCCTGGATTCTAAAATTCCATAAAACCTTGATATAATATATATATACTGTATGATATATAAATACTATATATAAACTATATATATATATACATATATATATATACAACACTGGCAATTCATATTTCAATTAGGCATTCCCAGCTCGACGAATAATGTTATTACTTAGAAACTGAAACTATATTTACAAGATTTCAAAGCGATACGACACGAGCCAGAATCCTGGTTTATATTTCCCAACCAGGACCCAAACATGTAACAGATCTGCATGTACAGCGCAACCCTTCATCATGAAAACAGTTGCAGTCGAGTATTTCAAAAGTTGTCTGCAATTTCAGGAAATGACCAAAATCGCCACGCAAATTTACACACAATCACATCGACGAACGGGACACGGTAGCGGTTCTTGCGGGTTGTTCCACACAAAACGCTTTTCTATAGGTGAGATCTTGTAATAAATAAAAGCGAAATCGAACGCTCATATATAGCACAGGAGCTGTTCTAGAGGAGAAAATCCGGAGTGCTGGGAAATATCCCTACTTGCACAAAATTTTCCCATTTCTTCCTGTGTGCGTCTGCCCATCTACCAGAAGTTCGGTATCAATTGAAGAACTACCCAACGGACTGCTTGAACTCGGTCTCTTAAACCGCCTCCATTTGATGCTCTCGTCTGCGCTCTCTCGTATAACGGCTCATGACCATTATGATCTCAAGCATTCAAACATTTGCCACACGTAGTTGGCTTCCACCAGGGGCGGTATTCAATCCTTTCCCAGAGGGATGTATCCCTTCTTCTTAGAGCGGCGCGACCCCTCAGGGAAAAGAGTGCTTCATCTGTGGAGGGTAGTTGTTAGAGACAGTTAGAGCAGCGCAACTACCCTCCACAGATGAAGCACTCTTTTCCCTCAGGGGTCGCGCTGCTCTAACTGTCTGGCGGTAGAAACACAGAGGTATGCTAGGTCCTATGACGCAATCCTTTTTTGTCCCCCGAGAGGATTGAATCAGAGTAGGGAGATACATCCCCTGGGGGAAGGATTGAATACCGCCCCAGGAACCTCCCTAGTACCTCCTACGGAGCTTAGTCCTATGGCTCTTACCCTCTTCCCTGGGATTTGGAGCCACACCAGGCGCCGTTCTGTTATCGCCTGGCTCTCCGCCATTAGTGGCAGGACCATGGAGGAAAGTTAAAGTGGTCTGTAAACCGAACCGCCCAAGAGTCCCGTCAAGATTGGGATGGGTGGGGTGGGCAAACAAAATGTCGGTTAACACATTGGCACACGCGGCAATATTGGGGTTGGGGTGTGGTTCACCAGTACAGCTAGCGCCTTTTTCGCGTTTAGCAGCGCGAAACAATACGCTGCGGGAACCTCGGGTCCAGAGATGATCAGCGGTGGACCTGGCGCTTCAACGTCATTGCCACTGGAGAAACTGGATCAGGTTCGTGAAACTGTTCAACACCTCCTTCTCTCAAGGTGGATGCGGCTAAAATTCAGGAGACCCTCACTTGAGGCGTAATTGCCAGTTTCTCTTGTTTTCTCTTTCTTGTCGATCTTCAGATCTTTCCCACCTCCAGCTCATTAATGAACGCTCTTACGCACCGATTTTATCCAGGCTTGCCTTTAAGGAAGCTTACATGCACGCACAGTGAATGCCGTGTACCACGATCAGGGTGAACAACGATCGAGGGATTCCCCTGTACTGTGCGAGAGTAGTGCCGAGACTGAACGTACGCGCAGAGAGCATAGACGGCCCGTAAAAACGGTATCGCATGACTTGTCCCTGACGGCAACAATCGACGGGTAAGGGCGCAGCAACAAGGGACTATTCAATTACGACTAATTGTCATCCAAATCATTAACGATTCCTTCATTGGCTGCCTCGAGACGTAGGATCGCGCACTCAACAAGGCCCGGCGCGCGGCGAGAAAGCAGAGAACTAGACGGGTCAGCAGACGAGTCGCAACGCGCACTGCTCTGATTTTGCATCAAGTCAAATAAAATGTATTATAATTCTCCACATCGCACAGCACGCGCTGGGAGTCGTCCGCTCACCCCTCTTCATGTCCGCCTTCTCACCGACGACGGTCTCATGTCCGTAGGATCACATCTGACACTATTCTCAATGATCACGGGTTACATTGCGATCAGCATCATATTTACTATTACAAAATTTGGCAATCAAGATATGGTTTTTATCACAAAAAAGCTTGAAAGGCCACAAGCGATGAACGCTAGACATTGCGAAGAGATCTCCAGAAGTATGGGTTCTGCTGGAATCGTCGTTGAAAATTGTTATACCATTCTTGCAGCGCCGAAACAGGGATATAGTCAGCAAATCCTGAAGCAAAAACATTCGTGAAGCGAACAGTCAGAAACAATTACCCACTACAAAATATTCATATTTGGGCAAAAAGTAATGCAAGTTGGGTATCTCGTACTTCAAGCACAAACCTTGTCCATCTGGCCGAGGTAGTCGCGTTGTGTAAGATTCGGCATGATTCACCAAGTTGCGTAACAAGGTTTCCGCAAACTCACTCAATGTTGACTGGAAAAGAGTGGATGCAGAAATAATTCGTACAGCATATCTATTTAACATACCTGCTGACTGATCTGAGTCCCTTCAGCAGCTTCTCTTCCTTCAATAGCCGTAAGTGGCTCCACCATTATTCCTATCTGTACTGATCCCGTCGCCCCAAACGCCATGCCTCCACTAAATACACCCGTATGGCGAACCTCAGACAGGTGTAGCTATAAAGCACAATGTACAGAATGTAGAAGATCGATCGTTCGCGCGAATGTTGTATAAAAATTCGTGTCGTAATTATACGGAAGCAAAAACTCCGACAGTCACAAATGAAGTCCTCAACAAAAACAGCTGCCAGGCCCGTTTCACAAGCTCCGCACTCACAAGACGCAAAACATTAGATTATATGAAATGGGTGTGTAAGGCGTTTAATAATGAAGGAGAGGAGGATAGGGAAGATCTGAAAAAGGAAAAGAAGGCAAAAGAGGCCGCAGATTACGCTCCGGACAAAACGCCTCCCTTTCTCCACTGTGATGAAAAAAAAAGGGGGGGGGGTGTTGCACTAGTTTTGTAATGCCTCCTTTCAATCCCATCTTTTTCAATCTTAATCTTATCTTAATCTTTTTTGGCGTGCTGTTAGGCGCTACGACGTAATCAACATTGAGTGCAGCCGTGCGCGTAATCACTGACACTTTCAACCACTTTGCGCGGGGAATGTTGCAGCCTAATCCCGTGGCATGTCGCCAAATTAATTATGCAGTAATAGATAAGTGCGTGAATTATAAGCCCTTCAGAGAAGCTTCTAGTTTTTTTTTACTGTTTCGTACAAAAAAGGGGCGTGTCCCCTTAAAACAAAGATAGGAAACAGGAAACACATTACCTGCGCAATCTTGAATATAACACTGGGTTTCATGTTGCATATGAATCCAAGATAGTGCCAACCAGCATCCTGCCCTCCAGGTGACGGCCATCGGACATACACTGCAAAAATTTATCTTGACTTAATCATTCCGATACTTGAGCCGGGATTGTGCCATGTTTAAGACTTTACTGATTGCCGTCTATTATGCATGTAAATGGGCCTAACGAGAAAGATCTCTTAGGTCCTGCCCAGCTTTTTCAGAACGATTTTTTTAGTCTTTATCAGTGGAGACACGTGCATGGAACATGGAACCATGTTTCATTTCCCCTGAGCGGCTCTCTGAATGGCAAAGAGGGATTAAAAATGGTTCATGGTTGGATCGCCCGTGGTAACAAAGTTTTGCATTACTGCTTGATGCTTGTTGATGTCGCAAAATGGTACCCGCGGCTAATGGTGGATGCCATGTTACCTTCACCACCATTAGTAACCCATGTGAGTAGGCTGATGCTAAATACTGATGCCAAAAAGGTGTAGCGCCTGAGCTTATAGAACCACTTTAGGCATCAGTGACCGCTCCGGAAAAATAAGACATGGCTCTGTGTTGCATGTAAGTACCCCTACATCATGCAAGAAACCGTTTCTAGTAAGCAAGCCGAAACCTGAAAGACCTTTTTGGTAAGCATAAGCGTTGCACCTCCTTAGCGACGGTACTGTGTTCCAGTGCTGCCAGCCATATCCTCAGAAACAGCGGTTATAACAGCTAATGACGTAACGACTTAAATAGATACGATGACGACAGAATGAGGGAGTGAGGTTGGCTAGCCGGATAGTTTAAAGGGTAGGCTCATAGCTGCATCTCTGAAAGGCGCAGGTTCAATCCCTAAACAGGCTCAACCATGTTCTTACTATAATAGATAAAAATGCATTAGTATCACCGATAAAGCTAGGTTGTTAGCCGGAAGTGACGGCAGACCCCTGCCCGAGTGATGTAGTCAGTAAGCGAGGGGTACCGAGGAGTGAACGGCCTCGACCAAAGAAGCTAGCTCGAAGTGGGACTCGAAACGCAGCATCACTAATCGGGAAGTCCCGAGAGGTTGCTGATGTAATAACGCGCAGGAGTATTCAAGTCTCACGCCTTCAGAAGACGTGATGGAAAGCTGCTAAGGCTAGGGAAATCGGGGAAGGTGTCAAGCTCGACTACAATGGAGAAGAAGGCCGCGGCGGTAGCGGAGTCGCTCAAGGACTATGTCTCCGCTGTGAACAGGACACAAGGTCAAATTATTGTACACACCGTAATCTAGTTCCCCGAAAATGAGAAGGGTGAGTTCTATCTAAGCCTCGACAATGCCATCAGATCGATTTCGAAAGGTGATTACGTAACTATCGCAGAAGACCCAAATAGCCACGTTGATAGCAACAGAAGAGGCTTGAAACACGGAGGAAGAGGGATAGGAACGAGTAGCACTGAGGGAGCGAAGGTTCTAGACTTGGCCACAGCCCACGATGTGCAGCTGTGTATTTCTCCGCGGAAAAGGAAACCAGGAAAGTACCCCTCAGCAGTGGAAGTGGAAAGAAAGCAGACGGAAATTGACCATGTGCTCACAAGAATACCATCCCTCAGAACTGTGAAGAACATCAAGGTACTCCCTGGTAGAGATTGGTCTGCAGTACAGGCCCCTAGAAGACAGTGCCATAGAGCTTCTAAAAAACAACGGTGAAATTGCAGCGAGGAATACAGTGGGGGAAGCTCCACCAAGTGGAGGAGGATAACCTCAGAAGGAGGATACTGTGAGGGGTCTTCCAGATGCACACGGAATGGTTCAGCAGACATAGGGCTACGGCACTAATTTCATCCTAAGATGCGCCATGGAAGTACCGGGAGAAACGCGAAGTGGAGTAAAAGAAGACAAGGCAGCGTGGTTCCGGAACGAGGAAGTGCAACACGATGCCAAGCAATAAAGGGAAGCGTACAAGCGCTGACAGGAAACACGGAGCACAGAAGGCATTGCTTTCTATAAGAATTGGAGAAGGTTTGCTAAAGCATCCGCCGTCAAGGCGAAGAACACGAAATGGACGCCTTGTACGAGAAGTTTAGGGCCGAGATCGGGAAATTTCGTCTTCAGGCTTTCTAAGGCTCAAGATCGGGCTAAAAACACATTAGGGTACTGAAGAATGTGAAGGGCGGCGATAGCACCGTTCTGAGGAAGCCAGTCCAGTTCAAGAGAAAAGGAAGAGTCTTCACTGAGCTGCTAAACGATGAATTCCCTACAAGTACAATCCACAAGCATAGGCTACACCGGGTCCCAGCACTCTGGACAGAGGATGAGGTTTGACGTGTCTTACACTAAATTTCATGATTAAAAGCGAGAGATTAGGATAAACTCTCATGCAGCATGGGAGAACGAGCACCACTTCAAGCAGTAGCCAGAGCCCAAACGAATCGAGATTTGGCCTTTTTGTGACTGAAGGTGCGCTCGTTGCAGCGCCCCAGGGCTGACAATCTTTTCTGAGCTCCGCCGTTTTCTGTGCTCCGCCCCTCAGCAGATCACTGTTCGATTATCATTTTGATAAGGTATGCTACTTCGAGCGCGTATCCAATAACCTTCTCATGGAATGTTTTATCAATCAAGGTGTGATCTCTGGCGGTATGATGGTAGCTATGGTTTAACGAGTGCCGAGGACCTTTTCGTTGGTAGCCAACTCGTCCATTATCGGAGGTTAACTGGCAGTGGAAGTGGTCCCATTTTGCACGTTTTTGACAGATTTCTTTGCTTTTTTCGCTACTAGAGCATTATTCAGCATCTCCACTTCCACTACAAACACAACACAACCCTGTCGTAATCTCTCGCTTTAAGGGTCTATGGTGGGATCAGAGTCATCCTCTACACTGATGGCATCATCCTGATAAAACAAAAGAAGAATTCCACGATCCGGTGCAAAAATGACAGTAAGTAGTGGCAGAGAGAGTACTTCGGTTAAACATGAAGAAGATCAAGTTCTGAGCTCTCGGTACGCTAGGGTGGATTACCGAAGGCTGTGGGGAAAACATCGCATATGTGACGAACTTCCGATACCTTCGAAGCGATCTGCCGCGGACTGTAGAGTGGGTCAGGCAGTAAAGCCACGAATCAACGCGACATGGATGAAGTAGAAGTAGTCCACTGGAATCCTCTGCTATTGAAGCTGCGCTTAGAGTGCTCAGAAGAAAGGTACCGAACAGTGGTATGGCCTACGATGCTATAAGGCAGCTAGTGCTGACACCAGAACAAGATACGAAAGACGGTTTCACCTCGCCGAAATGAGCATGCTCAGATGGGCCTGGGCTGTACGCTACTGGAAGTGAGAAAGGAGAGAAAGGAGGATATCAGATGGTAATGCAGACTGCCCCTATCCAACTGAAGCTACCGGAACAGCGTCTACGATGACATGGGTATGTGCTAAGGAGGCCACAGGACCATTCGATAAGAGCAGCAATGGACTTCGAAGTGCGAGGCAAGTGACCCCACGAGCCCCAGAGAAGAGGTGCAAGGATATCAAAACGAAAGATCTCACTAAAGTCGAAGTCACAGCAGTAGATCCCTTAGACTGGAGCAATGGCGACGTCTGACACGAAGGGACCCTGAGACTGCATGATCAACGAAAGAAGGAGAAGACGATAATGACGACAGAGTGAATAATAGCAAAGGATAGATTAAAAACCCTATGACCGTTAAAGCATTTCTGAAGTATAGGGCACACTCTACTTACCCCAGCACATTAGTCTGCAGTTAAGGTCTTATAAGTGTAATTGAGATAACTGAAAACGAGTTCCCAGAATGCCTTTCTGGGCGCATTCTCTTGCTCATGGCTATGGGAGCTGCACCATCCACCGGAGTGGGCGCAGTTTTGAGAAGCCATCCACGGGCAGGGACGTTACAAACGGCCCCATGTAAGTGCAAAAAATGCACAGTGGTACGGTAAACACCCAGCTGAACTACGTAGGAGGATAATATGTAGTAGTACAACGTATGAATTTAGCATTCCATCTAACCGCACACGCGCACACCCAGTAACAAATCTAACAAATGAACGAACAAACGAACGAACAAATCTAACAAACGAACGGCTGCTCATGTGTGCAAGATACAAAAAACAATGATCACTTCTTCGCACCTGAACCTCCCAATCCGTCTGGAAAAGGATGCACACCAGTGATGAAGACCACAACGTGATTAACATTCGAGGCTTCTCCTATTTCACACAGGAACTCCCTCTCACCCGCTTGCACGAACTGTGATGGCTAAACACACAGATATGTTCGACGTATACGCTCACCACTGGTCCAGCTTCAGACACTGTTCACAGCTTCCAAAACTATCGAAGCACGCGCGAACCGAACGAATCTGGGTGCTAACTTAGTTGGGGGGGGGGCACGCGGCGGCGCGGCAGTCTGCTCACCTGGGCTCTCTCGAGCGAGACAGTGTAAACTCGAACATTCCAGCTTTTCACGCATGTCAAGTGACTGCCCCCACAAGCACCCCCTAGTCTGCTTACACTCCCCCTGGCCCACGGATTTCCGAACATGCCAGGTGAGCAGACTGCCGCGCCGCCGCGTGCCCCCCCAACTAAGTTAGCACCCGAATCTGTGCTCTGCGTATCGATCCGCAAGATGGGGTCGGAGGGGGAGCTTCGAATTGCGCAAGCGAAGATTGCTTCTAAAGGAAATGTTTAGTCCATATCTTGAAGTCAGATTAGGTGTGTCGGTGGATTTGACATGGCCGTTGCGCACTTGCTAGAAGCCGTACGGATATTTGTTCCTAACATATTTCGTTGGATATCAGCAGAAAGCAGCTTATCCGCGCAATTTTTATCAAGTGCGCCACGTCAAACTCAGAGACACGTCTGACTTTGAGATATGGAGTAAATGCTACCGATCAGGGTATTTGGAGGTGGTCTATCGTTTCACCCTTTCGATACCTCGACGCTGCATCTTGCATCAACGCTGAGAGTCGGGTGTGGTTCACTAGGACAGAGAGCGGCTTTTTCGCGTTTCACAGAGCGAACCATTTTTCGCTGCGGAAACCTCAGGTCCACCGCTGATCATCAGGGGCCGTAAGGTGTGCTTCCCCGAATGCTTGCGGGGACGAAAGTCCCTTTCATTTTTTTTGTTTTGAACGGCACTGTTTCTTTTTTCTCAATGCATGTTTTTTTTTAAGCAACACACATATAAAAAATGTAGGCTCTTTATCAGGACAATCCCAGTTGGGACGACAGAGAAAATTTAAAGGGATTTTCGTCCCCTAACCCTCCGGGGAAGCATACCTTACGGCCCCAGGGAACCTGATCTTCCCGCAGCGAACCATCGACGGAGCCGAGATTCCCGCAACGAAGTTTTCCGCGCAGCGAAACGCGAAAAAGTTGCTTTCCGTCATAGTGAACCACACCCCTAAGAGATCGGTTGACCACGCTGATTGCATTTAAACCGTTTCGCTTCCGCGCTCTCGCGCGCACATATTCAGGCTATCCTAATTCTTTTCGCGATTTCGTACACTCCACTAATTCGAAAGCTGTGAACAGTGGCTCACATCCAAGCACTTACCGCTCGCCCCGCGGCGATCAAACCGAATGCCTCGGTCATGACACGCCTAGAAGATCAAACTATCGACCATCCTCAACACTTTCCAAAATTAATCCGACAACTCGGCTTTTTGACAACTTATACCTCAATTTTCTATTCCACACAATTACAGAAATATTATTCACATTTTATTATATCAATAAATAACTTTCAGAACACGACATTAAACATTTCAGAACCACGAACACGTTTGAGATAAAATGAGGCTACGCCTCAAAAGTAGTAATAGGAGTGGAACAACGGAATAATTTATTCCAACTATACATTCGGATTTAGCAAACACCTTCCTTGGAAACGTTGGCATATAATATAGGGAGTAAGAATGAAAACAACGAGCAAAAGATCAGACAACACTTCGCGGGAGACCACAACACAGAAATAAACGCGGCAAAACAGATCTGACTAGTATCTGCCGCCACCTTGAGCATTTGCCCATTGCTGTTGACCAGAAGGCGCACCAGCCCATCCTCCGGCTTGCTGGCCCCAGCCTCCACTTTGGCCTCCCCAGCCACCGCCTGCTTGTTGTCCCCATCCTGCCTGATCTCCCCATCCTTGCTGTTGGCCATATCCTCCATAACTCTGCTGACCGTAGCCTCCACCTGGAGGTCCACCATAACCTGCAGTTGTAGTAGGTTTTGCGGCTACGGCACCTTTGAATGTGTAAATATTAGAGAAGCGATAGAATAGTAAAAGCAGATAAAAGCATGGTAGAACTCAGTCAACGACAACTGAACTCACCGTACCCACCCTGTTGTCCGTAACCACCACGAGTCTGACCGCCCCAACCTCCTGGTCCACCTCCGCGTGCATCACCACGAGAGCGACCCATACGATCCACACGATCACGAGTGCTTTGAGCCTAAATTTGATTGTATGCACTGCTCCACTAAACAACAAACCACCCCTAAAACTAACTACTTTATTCATTTCATCCTTCGAGAGACCCTTCTTCACATCGCATCTGAATCCGTTAATCATGTGGCTGCGCAAGAGCACGCACTGGTCCACTGGATCGTAGTCATCAAATGTAACGAAACCAAATCCACGAGGCTTGTTCGTGACTTTGTCCAAGATGATCTCCGACTAAAACTGGATTTTAAACTTCTTCCAGCACTGAATAAAAAATCGCCTCACCTTCACGACGTTTCCGTACTTCCCAAAATACTCGGTAAACATTTCCTCTGTATGGTCCTCGCGAACTCCGCTCACGTAAAGCCGCTTCGTCGACACGTTGGATTCGTTGCGGTTCTTATCATCCCTGGGGACGGCTCGTTTTGGATCAACCGTTTTCCCATCAATAACGTGTGGGCGAGCAGCCATAGCAGCATCCACCTGAACGAAGGTCTTATCTCAAATCCATAATCCACTACGATCTAAATTTAAAGCACTTACATTTGCTTTACAAGCAAACGTCACGAAACCAAATCCTCTCGACCGTTTTGTGTTAGGATCACGCATCACGATAATGTCAGTCAACTCTCCGAACTGTTGGTAGAATTCGCGCATGACTTCATCGGTAGTATTTCCAGTGAGACCTCCAACGAAGATCTTGCGGAAGTTCTCCGGCTCAGTTTCTCCAGCAGCATTTCCATTCTGAAATGATTCACGCGATCATAGTGCTGAAGACAACTCCCTACCACCTACCGACGATGAGGGTCCAGCTGCGAGAAAAACAATATAAATCAAAACTCAAATAAATCTTACATGTCCTTCGTCAGCCATAGCGTCAGTCAGTCTTAACAACTCCTAGAGTTACTTCTTAATCGACAGGATTCAACTAGCTTAGCTTACTTAGCTGGCTAGGTACGTATAGTAATGATGAATTGATGATAATCACTACCAGATCGACTACCTAAATTTATTGACGAAATTAGTTATTAAGTACGTCGTAGATCTAGACACGAGTCGTTAGCCCAAAATACCGCATGTCACTTACTTACAACGATCTGAAACGAACACTTGTACCAGCAGAAGGACCCGAACATTAACTACACTATCATGAGAACTCAAAAAGATGAGAAGAGAAGCTTGAACCGAGCAAAGATCTTACCTCAGAGCCGATTACGAACAACACCAACGACCGCTACGCAGATGAGTGCGAATGGCCAAACGCGCGTCACTCCGAGGGCGTGGCCACGTGGAAGCGCCAATCCCGTGGCGGGACCACCGTGGGAGGATAGAATGGGCGCCAGTTTTGAATAGTATTATTCCTGTTGGTGTTTAGTACCACAGTTTCGAATATATTGGTTGTTTCGATGAGTTCATGCAGGCGACTTCTCCCGGGGACTTTAAACATGTGATAGTAAGGGCTTCACGTTGTGGTCACGGATGTTCCATGCTTTATGAGGGGTGAATCCGGTAAATGGTTAAGAGTTAGCTGCTCATTATGAAAGCACTGACATTATAGTCTGGGGTCTGTTCGAGTTGGGGGAGAGCATTTGCTTTAGAGCGCTCAATGTGTTCAAAACCACTCATAGCATGTTCTCCTGGTGTAAACGTTAAGGATTAAGCTTCAGAGGGAAAATCCCGAGTCCGTGAGCAATCTTCACTTTATCTAGACGTTTATACTATAAAATACAAAAATACACACATTGTATAAGAAACCAGAAGAAATAACATGGGACAAAAGCTGATTGCAGTTTGTAACTTTAAAAGACTCCCCGAGCCAAAACGGCATGTGTGCAGCGCAGTGTTCTCACCCCTAAGGAATAGACCCTTATTTTGTACTATTGGGTTTGCCTTGTTGTATGCACTATGATAGGGGAGGTTTGGGTTACACATTTTTTATGCATACTCCTAAAAAGCAGGAAACGTTTCTAAATAACAAAGGTCCGCATTCCTCGAGGTCTTGGGATGGTCGGCTATCAAATTTTACATCTTTTGAGAAGCCAAGCTTTTCACCTTGTCGTTTTACTCACTGCAGCACTAAGGTAAGGTTAGAAAATTTAGAAAAGCATCGGCTCATGCCTAGTGGAAACGATAGCTGGAGGATCGTATCCTGCCCTTTTGAGGGTGAAAAGTCTTTCGAAAAAGGGCTCTATATCACAGTGTTGATTGTCTGTATATCAACAATCTTCTAGTAGAGCTTTCCGAGAAAGAATGCATCCTTTAACAGCGCAACAACCATTCTACCAAAAAGCTCGAAATGAATAGCTGTGGTCCAAGGTGTGTGATGGAGGTTGTGGTCCGGGTTTCGTGGTTGCCATAAAACTCGTACCTTGAACACATTTTTAAAATGATTTTTGAAAACTTTATGTAAGGGAGTTGTCTTACAACAGTGATGAGGAATTAAACCAAGGAGGCGAAAATCCAGAAATGAGTGTAAGCTGCACAACCTTTCTTTCACAATTTTTCAAGCCGTGGCTTTCAGGTGAATAAAAGATGTGAAGATTTGGGTGAGGACCTTCTTCAAACCCAAGTATAGAAAGGGAAATGAAAACCCTTTTGTTCTTTTGAAGTGTCTAATCTTCCGGAAACACCTACGCCATCGAGAATGTCTTTTTTTTTTGAAGAATGAAAAGAAGTGAAAGCAAGAGAAAATTGTAATTATTGGAAGAAGAGATATCTTTCGAAGAATTCTATGAAAATGCCACATGGAAACGAACTTCCACGTGGGAATTGCGTGACGTTTGCGCAGCGCGTTAATTCAGTCCGGAACCCGTTTGCAGTCCACATTTACTTGTGAAACCTGGGCCAGCTGGAGAGCATCCTGGATTTTCCAGATGGGCCAGGTTCCACAAAAATGTTCTTTCATGCTCAGCTTCATTCATCGTCGAAGCCTTTACAAAGCGTAAGTTGTGGTCGAGGATTTCTTGACACAAAGATATCAGCGTACTTCGCATTTCTCGCAGTGGGTCGTAAGCTGCATATTTCTGGACAATGGGATAGTCAAGTGGAAAAAGGAGCTGGGATTTCTACTGTTTGTA